CTTCTTCTTCTTCTTCCTCTTCTTCTGCTACGTTGCATCTGCATTTTTAATGTTTGCTTAAAATATGTGCACAGCTATATATAACAACAATGTGAAAATAATATTTTTTGCTGCCATGATGGACGCAGCCAAAAACCAAAAGTGGTTCAAGCCTGTAACTGTATGCCCTCCCTCTGCTGTCATTCAAATCAGCAAATATTTTTATGATGTTTAGATCCCAACATAGATTTAAACTCTGACAGGTATTTGTCACCTGGTGGCGTTGTTGTTCATATCTGTTAATGATAATGTTGGTGGTCATCTCCTGAGGGAATGACAAAATAATCCAGTAAAGAGAAATTATTTTTGACTCTGCACATCTCTGTGTTCAGGAGTAAACAGCCTTGTAGCTAGTAAAGGTTGGTTGTATATTTAAATGTCATGTGCATTTATTTTGCATAGCTTAATAAATGATGTATTAACCTCTGCCTCTCAACACTGCAGGTGCGGCGACTGCAGTATAGAGGCTAATAGTATCCACTGAAGCTCGTTATTTATTCATCTATTTTTATAAACTGCCTATTGTCACATACTAATGTCTTTAATATCATGGGATGTGTGCTTCAACCTCTTGTTTTACTTGATTTCCTTATTTAAGAAAATGGTATAAAGACGAGTCCAAGTATCCTGTCCGTGATCTCCCTCTACTGGTTGGTGACAGGAACTGCCTGTGTCGTTCAGGCCGCAGAGAATAGGTAGACTCAAAAAGTGGACTTAAAGCCAAAAGTCCATCTCCCCGCTACAGGAGCAGATGGCAGCTCACCAGCACACAAGACAGGGAGGTGCTGCCACCAGACGCTCCGAGCAGGGTGTAAATACACAATCAAACACTGACAAGTTACTGCTGCTGTGTATGTGTGTGTGTGTTCCACGTCTGTGGACCTGTGAAAGGCTTGACCTAGTTTTTTTTTGTTACCTTTTTCTTCTCTCAGAGTCAAAATGCCTCTCAACCTCTATTAACATTACTCTGTACAAGGTTTGTAGGTGGAGCGCTCAGATCTGTAGATAGAATTGAAACATAAACATCAGTGACTTTACTCCAGGATTTCACGTTATTATTTTTGTACTACAGATTCTATTAACCTTCAATGACTCTAAAGCATTTTGATGAATTGTGCTGTGCCTCAGGCTGGGATTTGACATTTTTGAAAGTCCAGTGAATATGTTGAATTTTTTTTTCGTAAGTATGATAGCAACACTAGTAGTAATTGTAACTCAAAACGAATCTGTCGCCTGCACTTTAGTTAAATGAAAATCTAAATTTGAGAAACAGCATCTGTTATAACTATAACTGTTAAATGTATTGATTTACACAGAACATAGTTGAAAATGGTAAAAGCAACAAGTTGTAACTATCAAAATCCATTACCATTGTCTTTAAGAGTACTGTAAATCATTTTGTATTTGTTTTTTTTTTAAATATCCTGGCATTTGAATCTGCAAAATGTCTGAGTCAATATGTCAGAAACCAAATTTTTGTAACATTTATTTACATTTTAAAATTTTGCCTTTTAACACATTTATTGCTAGAGAGAAAATCATGACGTTATCAGTGGAACTGCAGCATAAATTGCTAAATGGGTTTTGATTTTATTAAATAAGAAGCAAGAGTTGAAAATGATTGATTGACAGAAGATGTGTAAATGAAGCAGTGTTAATTGATTTAAATCCATTTAGGTGTGTTTCTACTGTGTTTACTTTTGTAGATAGTGAATCAGTCACATGAGAAAGTACAAATAATAACAACTGTATACATGCAACGACAGATAACTAAAAACAGGCTTCAATATCAGAATGTAATGCTCTGCAACTGACAGTGTACAGTTTGTGATGCTGCTGTCACTGTTAATGCCACTATCGCTGACAGTTTGAGCCCAGCTAGTCGTCACGATGAGGAGAGTATGCTAAAGCCTAGCTGAGTAGCGTTTCACGGCAGGATATGAAGCAGTTAGTTAATGTGCCATAAAAGGATTTAGAGGATTTGACCCTATCAGTGGAGACGACACTCAGAGAGGCTATGTTAATGATGCTAAATGAGTCTGCGTCCACGGCATGCTAATGCTGCTGACATAAAAGCCCGGCTTAGCATTTATATGGACTTTTTTTTCCATAGGAGAAGCTTGAAATATGAAATAATAAAGTCTTAATTTGTGCAAACATCATGTGGAGAGGAAGTAACACGTTGTTTGTTCAGTGCTTTCTCTGAGGCGCTGCTGCGGAACCTGAGCTGAAAATGAAGTGCAATGTTAAAGCTGAGCTGCTTTTCTCACGTCCCCTCTCACATTAGCTGTCACACATTTCCCTGGCTGTAATTATCTCATTCTCTCCTCTTGTGCAGATTTTCAGCTCAATGGAGTGATGTTATTTTTGGAAAATTTTCTCCCCTCTCGGCCCCACAGGCATATCAGTTCGTGTTATAATTCAAAAAACACATTCAACAAAGGCATCACCGTCCTCATCATTATCCTGAATTAACCAGATATGTGCACAGAAACTGTATTAAAAAAACAAAACAAAACAAATACATGATATGATCTAGATCATGTTGGTAATGTTGGTAACAAAATATTTTAACTCAACGTTAACATGGACACTCCTAATTCCCCTTTTCTATTCTACTTTTCTGAAAACCACATTTGAATATTTGGTGTTGTTTTACAATACACAGAAAATAGCAAACATCTCTGGGGCAAGATGCAGCTGTTGTTTAAAAATCAAAAGCATCATGGCCCATTTTTATCAGCAACCTGTTACATATATGTATTAGAAATTATGTACATCAATGCTATAATATCTGGGCTTTTATCTCTTCTACTGTGTAAAGTACACTTGTTTACTATACAGTTATTGTGCACTGTTGGAGGTATAATTCTGCAAAGACTGTGGAAACGGAATTGTTGGGCAGCAAACTCAGCTTAGATTTTTCCTATAAATCTCAGTACAGATGGATGAAATCTTTTTTATTATTTTTTTCATCAACATTGAAGTCTTTTTTTGAGGAACACCAGTCTAATAGGTAACTGAGGTCATACCCTTTGTGCACAATAACATATGTATTTACCTTAAAACCCTGTTCCTCTTCACGTCATGCCTTGTCCTTAACCATCCATCTCTTTTGAATTGCCAGAGCAGTGGCACAGTTTTGGTGGGAGGACGGGGCTGCCAAGTCCTGCTGCCCACCTCCCACTGGCCAAGCCCACTTCACTGTTAGTACTATGACAGTCTGAGTGTCATTCTGGGTTCGTTTTGTAAAGACAGGCCTGGGGTCCTGTGACCAGTGCCACTGATACTCACTGGATGTGGGCAGAGAAAGGAAGAGTACAGTGATGGAGTAGAGAGATTTTATGTTGCAGAGTATATTGGGACCAAACAGTGTGTGCTGAAGGCTGGAAATGGGATTTCCCCAAAATCTGCTTTTTGTCTAGAGGTAAACTTTAGAGGATGCAGAGAGGCAGGCAGAGGCAGCAGGTATGTGATGTGATTTAATATATGTAAATTTAAAAATGATTTGTACATTTTTTGTTTTTATCACACATGACTAGCTGTCACACATTTCCCTGGCTGTAATTATCTCATTATCTCCTCTTGTGCAGATTTTAAGCTCAATGGAGTGATGTTATTTTTAGAAAATGTTCTCCCCTCTCGGCCCCACAGGCGTATCTGTTTGTGTTATAATTCAAAAAACAGATTTAACAAAGGCATATTAACTTTCTTCCTGATATTCGATATATACATGTTTTGTACACCTAATTTCTGATGTCTAGTAATATTTATTTATTTATCTGTACAAACCACTGTATGAGTATGAGATTAATTAAATGAGCTGCAATGCTGCCATCTAGTGACTTTCACTGTAATATACAGCCGTTTATCCCCAAAACTATTTTTAGGGCATACATCATTTCGCGAAACCCAGGCTTTGCAATATCAGGTTTTCTGAAAAAAAGAAAAATATTATTCCACATTCCTACGCATCCATGGTAGTATTTAGCACCTTTAAAAAATATGGTTGTCTTTATTGACACCAAATATTTGTCGTGGCTGCTGCTGTAAGGTCCTGCATAACTGTGGAGGTGTCTAGAGATGCCGATGACTGTCAGTAATTGTTCTGTAATCCATGCCCTTACTGCCTGAACAGCTCCTCTTTCTTCAACATGTTTTCATATTCATTTGCAGCTGTTTAGAGTTCAGTTGTGGGAGGCAGTGGAAGACTCATTCACTCTCAACAATGTTTCACTTGCTGTTTGTTGTCTGATGTGGCACATGAGTGGGCGTGTGTTTGTATGATTGTGCTGATAGCCACTGCTGAGTCTGGGTGTTTTTGACTGTTTACAGACAGCCAATTCTACCAAATTAAACTTTTTCTAAAAACTTTCCTAAACGTTTTTCTATTTATATTTTGCTAGAATTATTGTCTTTAAAGTTGTATTAGAAGGACTAAAAGACCTTTAAACACAGGACATTTTGCTAATTAGTGAACAGCATTGGAGGAAGTTGATTATAGCATAGGTTGGTAAAAGAACTGGTAATTTTCAAGGTGGTCAGGAGTGGCAGAAAAGTACAAGATTGAGGTTCAGGACATATATGACACATAGTAAAACAATAATAAGAAGTCTAAACTCATAAAAGATGGGTAATATTTCGAATACATGTCAGTGAAGAAAAATACTACACTCTGGAGATTGCACTGCAAAGCAAGTGGACAAAAGAAGATCCCTGGGAAGATTAAGGGGCATCGGGCAGGTTGTCATAAGAATTGTCAGTGTAACAGAAAAGCAGGGCAAAAAATAAGGTCAAATGAAAGAAAATTGTGTGCTGAGGGTATTATTTGGAGCCTAAGAACTTCTTCAAACCCTTACCCCCAACTGCTGGGTCTAATTTCTAACTCTGATACACACAAACGTCCAGAACCACATTCCTTTAACCCCTATATTGAATTCCTGTTTGTCTCTGTTTTCCAGGAGTCACATTCGAGGTCATCGGTTTACTTGATTTGGCCTGAGGGTCTTCTAGACGGTTGATTGTCCTCACCAACATGAAAGGGTTGGGCACCAACCGTAACAGACATCTGTCTGAATCTTGTGAGCCGTCATCACTTCACCCAGAACCCTACTACTCTCCCAACACCAGCACTTTGCCTCGCAGTCCTTACTTGCTGAGCCCCACGATGGACCACTACAGTTCCATGGACCCCCACCTCTATCCCTTAGCCAACCCACAATCCTTTCCACCAGACACCATGTTGCCATTCAACAACCAGATGTCTAACAGCACCTCCTTCCCTGGGATTCATTACAACTCTTACGACCAGTCGGACTTCTCCCCACCTGGAGACAGTATTGGTGGGATAAGCACAGGAACCATGGGGGCTCCAATGTCCATGGGCATGGGAACTGGCATGAGCGTGGCAGGGTTAGGTGGGCGACGACCTATGATTACAAGTGGCTCAGCGACCATATCCCATCACATGACCAAGAACCAGGCACCACCCAGCCTGCTGCAGTTTGACAAGCAGCTACCTACAGGGTGTGACGGGTTCAGTACGTTGCAGTTCCACCGAGCGTCTGCTGTCGCTTCCTCCAAGCAGAGCACCGACAGTCCCGGTCGCATCCGCTACATGTTGCACTCTGTGCAAAAGCTCTTTGCAAAGTCTCAGTCTCTGGAAAGCCAGACCATGAAACGAAACATGAACGGGCGCTCAACAGGCAGTGGTGGAGGTTCATCTGGCACGGAGGATGGGGGGAAACAGAATCGCAGATCCAAAAGTAAAGATCGTGGTACAAAGTCAGAGGTCTCCAAGAGACGACCACGCTCCAACATGTCAGGTTACTGGAGCTCGGATGATTTGGACAGCAGTGATCTGAGCAGCTACCACAACGCCATGATGAGTCTAGGGCATCAAGGTGGTCAGGAGAACCAGAGCAGATACATCCACAGCGGCTACAACACCATCAGCTCCACAAAAAGCAGCAATGACATCAAGTATCAGGCACTGTCTGTCCCTGTGGGTGGAGGAGGTGGTGGCCTAAGTGTAACTAGCGGAATGGCAATAAATGACAGTGACTATGTCAAAGGAGGATCCTGGTCTACTCTGACTATGGGCCAGCCGAGGCAGGTGATTCAGAAAGGTTCCTCTACTCTGGATAGATCCATGATTAAGTCCAAATCCTACCAGCAGGAACTAACCTGCAACTACCTACAGGTCGGAAGGAGGGTGAGTATACCTAAAGTGACCACCAGGGTTGACTAAATTATATTAGATTTATGCTCGTTTTCATTAAATGTTATCTATTCAGACTTGTGTGGTATTTTACCAACATAGCTAAAAAAACCCAGACTAATTTTGGCAACTTAATGCTGCTTGTAGGGAGATTGGAGTAGCACATTAGGCAGCAGCGGGGGAGCCAATGAGATCCCATGTCGGCGGATGCGGAGTGGTAGCTATGTGAAGGCCATGGGGGATCTGGAAGACAGCGATGACTCAGAGGGAAGCCCAAAACCTTCTCCAAAATCGGCTGCACGTCGTCAGAGCTACCTCAGGGCTACACAGCAGTCTCTGAGCGACCAGCTACCCCCACGCAAGTAAGAGAATAAACTTAGAAATAGAACAGTGCTTTTTAGGCAGTTCATGTGAACACAACACAGCAAGGGGTAGTGGCCCGCTGGCATATGTGAAATTGATCTAATGACTTCAAAAACAGACGATTAAAGCTAAAAACAAATATGCAAATGTATTCTCATACTGTGGGCTTCTTAAAAATATGCCCAAACATTTTTTTATGTCTACTTTAATTTGTCAGTTTCCTTCTGTTTACAAACTGACGATATCTCTGATTGGCTATAATTAAAGAGAGTGATTAACACTTCACATGTAAAAACACATTGCTATATTTACCCACTGAGAAAATGCACTCGGCAATCAAAAGAAAACAAATAACAGTCTCTTTCAGCCACTCGTGTTTCTTTGCTGAGCTTCACTTTGCCGGGAAAACACAACATACACATGAAGTCCACACTGTGCTTACTCACGTGTATAATAAAGTGGCGTCAGACTCCTGTTGTCCGCCACATGCCACTTACTTCTGTGACAATTTACCATCCGTCTGCTCTAACCACAAAGCTGAGTCTGCAGATCCACTATAACACTTCCTGTCCTCCTGAATTTCTAACATTTTCAAAAGTGCAGAGATTTGCAAAAATATAATAATTGAATACACATTTCTTAAATACATACAGAGAGAGAGAAGGGAAAATAGAACCTAATACAAGCATCATATTAAAAGCCTCAACTAATTATATACACGCTTGCTAAGTTCTATGCGATGTAAGTAGGGTACATTTTTCTGTTTTGTTTACTTTAAAAAACGTACAGTATGTCTGAAAACTGCTGACTCTTATCCACCAAAGAAGAAAAAACATTTTTATTTAAATTTTTCAAAGACAGGATTTTCTTTAAATAGTTAGAATAATTAGAATTTATAAAGTTTATCTGTGAATCAGAGGCACAAGTGAATCAGAAATCTTTATTTAAGAGAAAAGAAAAAAATTCAATATCTGGTGCTAAATATTTTTTTGTAGTGCCAAAAAGTCTCTTCCACTGTTCCACACTAGAAAGCATGCAGACATTTTTGTGGTAAAGTAAAAATATAACGTATGGTGTCCTACTGTCCCTACATTTATGTACGCTATATACAATATTTTATAAGATCTTTGTTTAAAGGTATTAGAATTTATTCCTCCCTGAAAGTCATCTGAAGGACTAATCCTACTCCCCCTGCCAATCCCTCACCCCCCACCCTGTTTTGGTGGGAGCAGCAGAACCCTGGATTTTTCCTTGTTGCAGGGGGAGCTGGATGCACTTTGGTCTCCACTCCACAGTGTGTCCCCTCTGCATCAGATGGGCAGGTCAATGAGCAGGTCAGTGGTAGGTCTGTGAGTAACATCTCAGGGGTTTAGTGCAGAACACTTCATTCTGGATGCAGGATTGCTTCATTGTGTTTGGCTTTGCACTTGCCCCTCGGGTGTATGTAAGTCATAGTTTAGAGTCAAGTTGATTCAGTATTCTCCACCACCGTTACTTTACTAAAGCTGGTAAGTGTTATTTGTCCATTCCATTTAGTTAGTGTCCACCTTAACTATGACATCCGTTTGCTTTGGCAGTAGTGCTGCAGTTCACAGTCACTGTGCTCCAACAACGAATATGAAGAATTACTTTTGTGCTCATCCAATTATTCGGATGCTCCTTTTCTTTGGCTGTGGCGCTGTGATAACACTGAGAGCTGCTGTCTATGAAACTAGCTTTGCATGAATAGATGAATAAGTCTCATTTACAGATAAAACATTGTTACGGATTTAAAATGAACTGCAAACCAACAATCATTTTCTTATATATACTATAAGAAAAATGATGTTGGTATAGTCTGAGTTATTTTGGTATTGTTTTGTTGTTCTATTATTGTTTCTGTTGTTTTACTATCTTATTAGTGTTTGAAAAGAGAGATATAATTTAATTTGTCTGCTTACGTCCTGAGAAATCCCTGTTCGATAAGTCGATTACACTAGTAGAGCATTGTTGTTTAGATCAATTTAAATCAATTAACTCAAACAAATCATCTTCAAAAGAACAATTTACATTTACATGGACATTAAATGAAATTATGATAATAAGGCCTGAGTTGTGATAAAGGGGTTTATCTGTGCAGAGTCTTGCTGTATTGCGCCAAAAATAATGTCACAAGTACCTAAAAATGTCGCCTTCTTTGGGAGTTGTCACATTGGTCGTCCTGGCAGAGATATGACAGAGATTTTACACCAGATGCCCTTCCTGATGCAACCCAACCTGGGATTGGGGGTGGGGTGGTCTTGCAGGTGGTGGTCCAACTACTGCATCACTCTAACTAAAAAGGCTAAAACCTTGTGTTAAAATGAGTTTCATGGAAACTTGGTTGTTTCAATTTGAGATTTTAAATTTAGCTTAGCTTGGTTATGCTAATCATGTCATCCGGTGCATTTTGTGTTGCATTACTGTTACCTGCTTGGTCAATCTATCAATGGTAATTAAGGTTTTTTTTTCTCCAGAAACATCCCAAGATAATGAAAAGACATAAAACTGCATGAGGATAGAATGGCTGCTGATGAACATGCATTTTTGTATTTATTTTCAGAGAAAATGTGCAAAAAAACTTCAAGTTTTATTGGAGTTAATTTTCTCCTGCCTTGCATCAATTTCTCCCTTTTTTCTAAGTCATCACATTTAAAAAAAAATGGAACTCTCCATCGTTACACTTCTTTAATTCTCCTCTGAAGTTTTACAGTTTGTCTTCGCCAAATCTCTCTTATCTCATTCCCTCCTGTTTGATCTTACTTTCTCCCCAGCTGTCTTCCGTCTCTCAGAGAGCTCTCCAATAACCACAGCCTTGACAACCTTGACTGCATCGAGGGCACGAGTTTGTCTTTGCCACGCTGGGAAGATGATGACCTCAGCCAGGCCTGCAGCACCCTGGGTAGACGTAGCTGCATGGCACAGGTCAGTACCCATGAAAGAAGATAAAAATTCTTAAAGTAAACATTGTGTTAATGATCCATTGGGGGCTTTTTTTGGTTCATTTTATTATTATTATTATTATTATTATTATTATTAAAAAAATGTTTGCAGTTAAACAGCACAAACACTGCTTACTCTGTCAATCTTGTCGCCTTTGTGCCTTCCAGCTACGGAACCTGGAACTGAGTCGTCATTATGAGGACCACAGCTCAGACTCCACGTTCAGAGATTCTCATTCCCATTCTCAGGACAATCCCGAGCCTCCGGACTTGCCCATGCCGACATGCTTCCGTTCTCGTAGCCACAGCTACCTGAGAGCCATCCAGGCTGGCTGTTCCCAAGATGACGAAACGGCATCTATAGACTCAGGCTGCTCACCACCTCCGACTGACACAACTGTCCGCACATATAGCACCAGCACTGGTGAGTCGCTAGCGAAATAATGGATGAGTTGTACTAAATATATTGATTTAAATAAGCTTTTTAATCTCCATCATTTTTGGAGGAGGGTTGAATGCCTTTTAGAATGACTAAGATCCATTAGGATAGTATTTGCTCCATACAGTATTTTTCCAAAACATTACTTGAAACACTCTCACCCTCCCACCCCTCCTATTACATTACCTTTCAACCTGACAAGAGACTATTCCTCCTGTGTGCAAACACCAGAAGTCTTTTAGTTCAAATGTAGCCTTTTGCCCACACTAGATGACCTTTCTGCCCAATGGAAGATATGGAAAGAACAGTTTGGCTCTTACCTGAGAGCCACAGGCTTGGACAAAGCCCCAAAGGAGAAACAGCTTGCAATTTTTCTGCAGCGTTTTGGGACAGACAGACCGAGCATCCTACCCACACACACAGGTAATGGTTTGAAAACCAGCCCCTTTCTCCCATAAAACGTATTTGTCATGCTTCCACTGGGTGAACTTTGCAGGCAAAAAAAAAAAAATCATGACACCCACGTATAGTACCCGTTGTTAGAGATGATTATTTGTGTAATTACATGCAACAGTGAGGATTTCTGCAGGCTTTTGAACTTAGAAAATAATATCTTTGTGGAAATGTGCATTTTTTCTTTTTCTTTTTTTTATTTATTGAACGGTGTAGCTTTTTATAAAGTCAGTGCGGCAGAGAATGTGGTGCTTTCACGTAAATGGTAATTTCCATCCTTTCCTGGACTTGATGAAGACATTCTGGTCAGGGTTCTTTTTTTAAATGTGACAAGTGTTGACACTACGAACATCTTGGAAAACAAACAAAGCACCTTACCATTTATGCTTCAGGTTTTATTCTATAATTTATGAAAATACGTCTTGTATATTTAGTGTAACTTCATTCACTAGTATTTTATGTTCTGTGACACCAAACTACTGCGACTTACTACCTTTGTTTTCTTTTTACAAGGCTGAACAAATAAACAACATGCTTCGAGAAAAAAAAAAAGCAAGATGCTAGCTTGTCTAGTTCTCGGCAAAATCATGAACACGGTCCAGTGACGAAAGAGATTAAAATGGCCGAGGCGTCACTAAAAGCATCATCATCTCACAGTTTACTCCGCCTCCTTCTCTGTCCAAAAGAAAACTAAACCACCAAGCTCTCCACTCACTTCATTTCAGTTCAGTTCTCCTCTCAGACAATACTACTTTCTATAACTGACCTGGGGTAAGACATAATTCTTTATTTTAAAGATATTGATGAAGACATTTTACTGTGCAGACTCCAGATTGTTACTTATGTTTTTCATATTACTTGCCAGCGCCTGGTCGCTGGCAACGTATTAAACGCGTGACTGCTCTATTTACTGTCATTAAAACTGTGTCAACTTGAACAAATATTCCTGTAGGAGTCCAACTGGTTTTTA